CGAAAGCAGGGCTTCAAGGGCTGGTGTGTTCTCGGGGTTGGGCCGACGAGTTGTTTTCTCAAAAAATGATAAAGAAGTTCAAGTTTCCTTCACAACAACAGAAAACATCTGCCATATATATTCCTTTATCAGAAATTATTCTTAAGTGTTTGAAATTGAAAAGCCCTGCTCCCTGCATGCAATCAGCATAGTTTTCGAAACCACCCAGACATGTCGAATGTTTGGGAACAATTACACCGTAGATGCTTCAAGCTGCAGGTGTAGTAGCCAACTCCCGGCCAATGGATAACGTTTCTGCCCGAGGATTGCTATGTGTTGTGGGGGGTGGCCTGAACTTCGTCCATTGTGGTGCACCATAAAAAGCCCCAGGGGTACCGCTATCCCGTCCATCCCAGTTGACCGTCCAGACATGTTTGACAGAATTACACAGTTCATGTTTCATGCTGCAGGTGTAGTAGCCAAGTCCCGACGAATGGATACAGTAGATGTGGGGATTGCTATGTGTTATGGGGGTGGCCTGAACTTCGAAATGCCCTGTTGTGGTGCACCATGGAAAAAGCCCCCAGGGGTACGGCTATCCCGGCCATACGCGCATCCCTGCCTAAGTTGATCCCTGAATTAGGGTTCCTATGAAATTTTGATTAGAGGGCATATTCCGTAATTGAAGGGTTTTGGAGTCTCTGGGTATCAGGCCAAGATTTCCGAGATCTACTCCCAGATGCTCCCGGGGCTTTGGGAAGTTGGCCCTGGGCGTCGATGCGAAAGACCTATAAAACTCATTTTGTTTAGGTCTTCAACTAGACCCAAGAGTAGCCTAGGAATAAAAAGGGTGCCCTTTTTGGTTTAAAGGGGCTTATAAGGGAACCTGAACCCTTAAAAAGGGAATAAGGGCCTACTCTAGGTCCTAGTATTTTGGTTAGGTCTTCAAGGCTTTTCATGCCTTTAAACGCTCCTTTTTCCGGCTCGGGATCTTTTTTCAGGATTTTAGGGTTTAGGGTTTTCAGGGTTTACCCTTAGGGTCCGAACACTGTGGGGAACCTCAAAATGTAGGATTCCTGAGGAGATTCCGGACCCTCCTAAGGAGATACCTGGACCCTAAACCCTAAACCCCTAAACCCCAAACCCTAACCCCCTAAACCCTAAAAACCCTAAACCCCTGGACCCTAAACCCCAAGGACCCTTAGGGTAGACCCAGAAAAGCATCCCCAAGAGACCTTCCGGTTCAGGGAGGGATGAGGGATTAGCCCTATCGAGCATGGCTTCGTAGCTTGTTCGGCCCTAAACCTCCGAAATCCGAAACTACCCCAAAACCCCAAAGCTCTAAATCCGAGACTACCCCAAAACCCCAAAAGTCTAAATCCGAAACTACCCCCAAAACCCCAAAACTCTAAATCCGAAACCCCCCCAAACCCCCTGGCTATCGAGGCTTGGCGCGATTTCGGTTCCGGCGCCGGCTTTGGATCCCCGCAGCCCGCCAGCAGCACGGCTAGGAGTGCAGTAAGAGCGACCTTATCCCCAAAGGGTCCTAAGTATGGGGGATAGCAAATCATAACATTACTAATAATAATGATAACGAAGAGTTGTAATAACAAATTATTATTATTATGCTGATTCCGAATATAGAAACCCATTCTACTGCATAAGAGCGACCTTGTCCTCAAAGGGTCCTAGCTACTGTTATGGGAATGCGTCTCCAAATCATAATAACATGATTCCCAATCATGGAGAAACCCCACATTCTTTTGTCAGAGCGGTCTTTGTCAAGTAAGTACGTTAAATTTCGACGTCTTTTCGATTTAGGGTTTCGGGCTTTAAGGTTTTCGGGTTTTAGGGTGTCAAGGTTTTATGTTTTGGGGTTTTAGGGCTCAGCTTTGTCAACTAAGCCTGTTGCCACACGCTTCCGAGGACCTTATAGTTAGGGCCCTGGAAGCATAGGGTAAGTATGCTAAGATTCGACGTCGTTGAGGTATGTTTTGCGTTTAAGGCGTAATTATAGTTGTTCGTTCTGGTTAAGGGTCCAAGTCATGGTGGGGTTAAAATCCACCCATAGTATTTCTATCAGGATATCATACTCTACTGTTTATCTGTGTATTTGGGCCCTTACTTGGAGGGTCGGGGCTCTTAGTGAGTAGCTAATTTAGAGACTTAGTATCATAACCCCCATTAGGACCCTGTTTAGGGTACTTATTAGTAGTAAAAGGATCCAGATTGAGGTGTCTTCAGGCTCTACAAGCAGTTTCCAATGTAGCTGTTTAGCCCCCATTTTCTGCACGTATATGCCTAGACCATATGCCGCACTACTTTATAGTTATAAGATCCTAAAAAACCTTAACCTCTAATCTACCGGATCCTAGCTGAAAAGTTGGCGGGCAAAAGCCTGGACAATCAGACTATGCATAGGCTTTTAAGCTTTTGGATGTGAGCCTTCAGGGCTCTCTTGTTTTGTATGGGAGTTTCTCAAAAATGGGGACCCTAATATAGTACCCCAAATAGTAGGATCCTTAGTTTAAGGACCTAAAATAAGGCAACCCATGTTGTCGGACACTCCCATATGGCTCATGGATTTAGGCTTCCAGATTTTGGGGTTTGGTGACGTTCCGGATTGTGGCATAACGTGGCTGAGCTGAATCCTAAACCCTATAAGCCTGAAACCCAGCGACCTTCTGGTCTTATGGGGCCTGATTGTCCGAATGATCCCAGGTACCCCTTTGGGGTCTTTGGAGGGGCATACTTCCACAAACCTGAACTACAACTCCTAACCAATCTAGAGCCACACTGAACCCGTCTGAAACCCCGTAAGCGACAATACGCGACGCCCTGAAAGCCTGTTTCTTGGCTGACTTCTGAACCCCTCCTTAAAGTTAAACTTGTAGCCTCCTTATTATAGTTCTTATAGAAACCTAAAAAGTTCAAGTCCGACGAGCCAACCAGAAGAACGCCAAGGTTTGGTCATCCTGTTGGTCCAGGTAGTTTTCGATGACATCGAAAATTAGGGGTACCATATTTTGGGGTCCTTTGTAGAAGGATCCTATTAGTTGGCATACTATATTAGGGTCCCCTATGTTCGGAAACTCCCAAATACACCCTCGTCACCTAAACCCTATGCTCCAAACTCTACGCCCTAAACCCCTGTCCTTAAATCATCAACTCTAAACTATACTGAACTTAGAACCCTAGCAAAATTGTAATTTTAGCTGTTTCTTAGGGATCATCATAACCGAAACTTAAAAAGTATTCCTAAGTACCCCTAAGTAAACCCTAAACACCTACACCCTCAACCTTGAGCAGAAACAACAAAAGCCCGGGCTTACCCTGAGGCTCCATGTACCTTAGGGTTTTTAAAAACCTAAGACCTAAGAAAAACCTAAGTCTTTAAAACACCTAAGCACTTCAGTATGCCATCAGGTATACTGCTTGAGCCTTTAAGTATTTATATAGGAACCCTTTAAGGCCTTTAATCATAAGTAAGCATATAGGTACATGGAGCCTTAGGGGAACCTGTGGATTCACTCTTACAGGTGTTGAGTAGGTACCCTAGTCCAAAAAGCGACCGATTTTCAATGATGGTAGGATTATATTAGCGGTTTGTACAAACCCCACAAGGTTGAAGGTACTTTACTCAGCTAGAAAGAATGTTGTCAAGTCTCCAAGCCGCCCCCCCGCGCCAGGGAGGAAATAACCATCGGCTCGGGCCCCGCAATAAAAGACGGGCTTCCGTGCTCCCTTATCTGGTGTGAGCAGAAACAGCGGCTTGAATTTCGGGCTTTAGGGTTCAGGGTATCTCAGACATGCGACTGTGCCTTGATTTAGGTGTGAACTTAGGCATGCTTCCGATAGCATAGTATTGTGGTGTCAGGGAATCATCGCTAGAATCAGCATATTGATCTGAAGGGCTCAAGAACTGTTGGTAGACCGGACCTACTGTAGATATGTGAAAACTCTGGAAGTCATTTTTGCAACTATTATGACGAACAGAGATTCCATGGGGTAGTTGTTATATTCATGCCATATATGTACATTTGCGTGTCTGTCAGCCTGCCTGTCTGCCTGCCTGAGCGCCTCCTACCTTCCTGCCTGCCTGCTTGCTTGCCTGTGTATATGCGTATGTGCATATGTATGTATGTATGTAACCTAGAAATGTAACTACTCTATATATATATGTATATGTAATTATGTATGTACAGTATGCGATTACGAGTGCATGATGCCTTTTGTAGCTGAGCAGTGTTTCATGAATCGTTTTCAAGAGAAATATTGGAGCCCTTTAAACGATACTTGGGTGGTTCTGGTAGAGCAACTGCCTGAGACATCAAACGTTTTGGCCCAAAGTTGCAAACCCTCAGGGTCCATGTACCCAAATAGAGATACATGAGCCCCAAAGTACCTATATACGGACTACATTAAGGCCAATGTATATACTATATGAGTACATGGACACTTAGGGAAATCTCCGGCTGATTGGACCGCTTCGAGGGGCGAGGGGCGAGGCTTCTGATAGGGGCTGTCATGGCCCTTATAATAAGGATCCTACTATTAAGGGTACTTTTTTAGGGTCCGCTGTTTCGGGAAACTCCCATATTGCAATTTGAGCAAGTAGTTGCTGACAATATCTCGTGACAGCAGCGTATTGTTTTGGAATTTTTCAGAAGGTGCATATACACTACTACTATGGAATTAGGTCCCAAAAGAACATCCTTATTATGGATTTGGGGACCTGGTTCCATAAAGGTAGAATATGTGGACCCTCTCGGTTTGCATTACATTACTTGGAGGATCATGGGACTTAGTAAGTAAGGTTATAAGTACTTTAATCGGGGTGAAAAGTATTTACAAGCATAGTTACCTTAATTACAACCCTCGTTACTAAGTCCTACGACCCTTTAAGTAACCCTAACCCCCTTATAGAGCCCTTATAGATCCCTTTCAAGGAACCCTCATAGACCCTTTTCAAGGAACCCTTATAGAACCTTTACATAGAGCCCCTAACTCCGCCGCCGAGCCTGTAAGGAATAGTTGGCCGCTACCAGGACGCGCGGCCTGAACGATGGAGCAGGCGACGAGTTTTTTTTGGTTGAGGGCCTATAGCCGTTTAGGGTTTAGGGTATTGGGTTCAGAGCCCATAGTGGCCTCGGGTTTTTTGGTTGGTATTTTACAGTAGGGCTAAGAGCTTCGCGACCTAGGTTTAGCAGATGTGTTCACAGCACGAGAGCTTAGGCTTTATGACCTGAAAACCACCAAATCCAAACACATAACTCATAAATATGAAGGTATCTCTAAAAGCCTTGTTCCCGTGGTCCTAGCACGTCTCGCTCAAAAAAACCGGGGACTAACTTTGGTTCTGCCGCGTGTGGATCACCAACAAAAAAATGGGAACGATTCAATTCTTGCTGCAGTCTGGGCATATAGGGTACACTTTACAAGTCAATGAGGTGTTAATAAGTAAGTATGAAACTTACTTCCCCAATAAGGCAGAGAAATAAAGGCTAAACTTTCCGGTTACTACTAAGTTATAATAAGAGCTCAGAAAGGTTTCGAAGTTGGGTACTGGGGAACCAAGCAAAGTACATGAGACTATCGCAACGCCTGGAGTCATTGTGTCAGGAGTACAACTCTGTAACCCAGAATCCCGCGATGGACAGTAACTTAGCTTGATCATTTTCTTTTGGCTGGCTCTGCATCCCTAAATATGTGCGAAGCACGGCTGCGATTCTGAGCAGCATTCAACGAACTACCGTTTGTCATTGACTTTAGTAGCTTTCCAAGAATTTCGATCGACTTGAATCTGCTTCCATGATGGAATACGGCTTTCGGACACTGTCGCGCGCGGCTCAGGGTCACACCAAGCGCGGTTGAATAACGGATCCCTTGCCGCATCCACACTTGCATACGGCTAATAATATAAATCTGCGCTGAACCCGGGACCCGAAAAGCTTGTGCCTGCCAAGGGCTGCTTGCTTAGGGATCAAGGATTGGATTTGCCTCCGGGCCGTGCGGTGTACCCACAAGTTTTAAGTTTCGGCCTACAATTTTAGTTGATTATATACATAGGCTTCGGTTTATATCCAACCTCAATCCCGTACCGTAACCCCCAAATAGCCGCACAGCCTACCTGCTACGGACTTGTACACGGAAATCAAAACAGGAGCCCTAGAAAGGTGGGTTCTTTGAAGAACGTTAGGTAACCCTAAACCCTAAAACCCTAACCGCCTCTTGTGCCAGGCCCGATCCACGCCCACGGAGGGATCGAAGGCGGACTGGGGTGCGCACTTGAAGGATCACGGGGCTTTGGGGTTTAGGGTTTAACGGGTCAGGGGTTGAGATGTCGGGTTCAGGGGATTAGGGATACTTAAAGGGTCATGGGACATAGTAACTAGGGTTATAATAAAGGTAACTATACTTTTATTACTTATAACCCCAATTAAGGTACTTATAACCTTACTTACTAAGTCCCATGATCCTCCAGATAACAGTAAACCCGAAACTCTAAACCCCTATAGATCCCTTAACGGAACCCCTTAAGGAACCCTTTAAGTTACTAAGTCCCATGATCCTCCAAGTAACCTTCGCCCCAGTAGCTCTGCGGCTTAGTAACAGCTGCTCGTGGAGAGGGGTGTGAGTTAGAATCATAGGGACCCCGAGGGGTGTAGGGGGGAGGGGTGTAGGGGACTATATTTCCTTAAATAGGCCTTATTAGTCCTTATTATGGGCACTAAGGCCCCCTACCCCCCCTCCCCCTACACCCCTAAGGGTCCCTATGATAGAATGGGGCTTGGGCCAGAAACGGGGGTCCACTGTAGTATACCTATGAGGAGCGCCCTGAGGGATAAGCATTGCTATTTGTACAGGATTTTGTACCAAGTGTTTAGGTTTCATTCATCCATGTTTGCCTGCCGGTTTTTGTTGGCTTTGTGGGTCGATTGATGGATGCTTATAATTACTGGGGCTTCTTAAATAGGGTTGAGGGTATCTGCATCACCTTATGTGGCCCCTTCGGTCGTTTCAATGGCTCGAGGACATCGTTCTCTTCGCTACGGCTGATGAATCCCCCAAACTCCAAGCCGAAACATCAAGTAGCCCAGCAACTCCTAAAAGCCTCAACACAATTCAAAAGTCCTACAGCCTAGAGTGGTGTGTTGTGTGCTCAGTGTTCGTGTGTGTGTGTGTGTGTTGGTATGCATGTGTGTCTGTGTGTGTTATTCTTTTTGAGTGTATGTCTGTGTGGTGCTTGTGCGCTTGATGGGTTCCTGTCTACATGTTGGGCAATTGCGTTTCTCATTTTTTGGCGGGAGGGGGAGGGGTAGGTATACCCTGAACCGAGCTGCCTGCGCAGCCTTGTCTAGGGCGTACCACCGTGCAGTGTGATGCCTCGCATAGATGGGCGTGCCCGAAGAGCTTAGGGTTTTGGAGTTCAGGGTTGCAAAGTTTCGTGCTTCATCTATTGTTTGCGGGGTTTGGGTTTTGGCAACAGGCAACAGGTGTTGAATGGCAATTTCCGTACATAAAAACCTGGGTTCTGTGTGTTTAAATTAGCTGTGTGAGGTTTTATAAACTCTCGGGTTGATAGAGAAGCCACAATAAATCATGCAGCGACCATGCCTAGTCTTTTTGATGCAGGCCTCCGTATGTTTGTCTTGGGGGGTCGCTTTGAGATTCAGAGTTCTCCGACTGCTGAAAGCCAAAACCCTCGCTGAGGGCAGTCCCAAAACCAAACTACAGAAGTCGTTAACCACAAAGATATTGGGCTCACGGGTTTACGGTGTCCACCTTAAATGTTTTTAATTCCTAGAATCCTTTAAAGTCCGCAAGCATGAATCCCTCGACCCTCAGGCCCTACCTTGAACCCAGATCTCTAATCACCGGTTACTTGGGCTTGAATCGGTTTACATAACTGGCTGGTTGTCAAAATTAGGGTCGGTACCCTAAATATGAGGTGCCGCACTGTAATGTGGACCCAAAAAAGGATCCTAATCTACTATTTGCTTAAGAACACCCAAAAAATAAAAAATATATTCCTTATAGGGATAATATAGGGATTATTATTTTTTATTTTTTGGGGGGTTCTTAAGCAAATAGTAGTAATTTTGACAACTACCCAAGTGAAGGCTGTCAGGCCCATACAAAACAGTGAGCAAGAGGCAGCTGCCACAACACGTTTGACAGTAGGCTGTATTATTAGGGAGACCCCTTAAAGGGTACCCCTTCTGAACCCTACTTCTGGCTCTCTTAAAAAGGGCCTTATTGAGAGGGTCTATATCCCCAAGCATCCCCCTAATCCTAACTCCCAGACAGGAACCGAATAAGAATTATGGAATAACGAATAAGGGCCTACTCATGGCAACCCTGATGTGTGCGGGGCGATGTGAAGCGACCGAGTTGACTGAAACCTAAAACCCTAGCCCTAACCCCTAGAAACCCTGTAGCAAGGCAACCTGAACCCGAAACGAATTGTCCGAACAGTAGTAAAAACAACCAAATCCAAAACCACCAGAGGCACCTAAACCCTAAACTAAACCCTAAACCCTCAACCCCTAAACCCTAAATTTAGCCTATTATCGGGTGGGGGTCCCCATTAAGGGTCCCTCCTTTTCCCCTCTGAATGTGACTTCGTGTCCAACTTTTTGTACCATCCTTTGAAAGTCGACTTTCCAGCCGGGAGGTCCTCAGATCTCGGAAGAGAAGCTTTTTTACTATAGGGGCCTTGATAATTACCTATACTGTTCTGGGGGTTCCTTCTTATAAGTATAGTATTAATCATATCCCCAAACCCCCAGTCAACTCATTCAGGCCCTATATCATTGTAGCTTTATAGATCCCGTATAGCAGCCCTTATAGACCCCTTTCAAAGAAACCTACTCTAATTATTAAGGCCCCTACATTACAGCAAACAGGGCCACCCTGGCTTGCAGGAGTCGTTCTGAAGGTGGGGGGCCACCGTTCGCTGGCGAAACCCGTAAACCCTAACCCCTAAACTAAACTATAAGCCCCTGAGCCCTTTTGAAAACCCTAAACCCTAAAGCCCGGCCCTACACCCCCAAAACCCTTAATCCCTTAAGGTAAAAGCCAGAAAGTTGGAATATGAATATCCTAACCCTTCGATGGTAAATTATAGGGTATCCGACCATGAAACCATATTCCAACTTTCTGGAGTTCCCTGTAGGGTAATACAGACACCCTACATTCTACCATATACGTACTTAGGACCCTTAGGGAACTTTACTCAGAGCTTAGGGCTTAAGGCTCTAGAGGTTCAGAGTCTAGAGTTTGGTGTCTTCATGCACACCCCTGATTCATAAACTGTCTTTCCACAAGGCAATAATAGCCCCCGACCCTGGCCCGAAATCCCCCGAGAAGAGTTTGGGGTCTTCATCCACTACCTCTAAAAACTCTCGAACCCGACATCTCCAAAACCCTAGACCCTGAATCTCTAAATCCCTAAACCCTAAACTTCTAAAACCCTAAACCCCAAATCTCTAAAAACCCTAAACCCTAAATCTCAAACCAAAAACCCTAAACAAGCCTAAACACGAAACCATTCATCCCTTACCTAAAACCCTAGACGTTAAAGGAATCCTCGGGCACCCTATAGTAGCCATGATAGGAATCCTAAAGAACCTTTACTAAACCCAAGAGTAACCTAGGAACAAAAAGGGCGCCCTTTTTGGTTTAAAGGGGCTTATAATGGAACCTGAACCCCCGAAAAAGGGAAGAAGGGCCTACTCTAGGTGCTAGTTTAAAGAAATCCTATAGCCTGTAAAGGTGAACAAGCCTAAACACGAAACCCTTCGATCCAATCCGTCGGGCGCCTGTTCAGATCCAAGTCATCGGGCCGTTTGGGTGCGAAGAGACCTGGGTTTTGAGGGCTTTGCTTAGGGTTTAGGGTTCCAAGGGTTCAGGGTTTAGGGTTCCTTTTTTTTAATGCGTGATGACCAGAGTCTGCGACCTAGGTCTGCCTTACAGGTACACGCAGGTGAGACATATATGGAGGTTTAGGGTTCTAAGGGCTAAGGGTTTAGGATTTAGGCTTTGCTTGGAAGTTCGGGGGACTATAAGACTTACAAGTACCATAACCCCAAATAGGGTCCCTGTTAAGGCACTTATAAGTCTATTTATAACCTACTTACTAAGTCCCCCGACCCTCCAAGTAGGGTTTTGAGGGCTTAAGGAATTCAGGGTTTTTTGGATCTAAGGGCTTAAGGAATTTAGGGTTTTTTGGATCTAAGGGCTTAAGGAATCAAAGGTGTTAAAAGCTTTGTTTGGGTCTAAGGGCTTAATTTGGGGTTTAGGAGTTATTGTTTAGGATCTAAGGGCTAAAGGTATTAGGGGTTTTTTGGATCTATATGGATCTAAGGGCTGAATTTAGGGGTTTAGGATTTAGGGGTTAGGTTTCACAATATAATGGCCAAAGGGATTAAGGATTTAGGTTTGAGGGTTTAGAGCTAAGGGTTTAGAGTTCAGGGTTTCGGATCTGAATCTCAGGGTCTAAGGTACGATCACTCTGTACTTAGACCATGCCAAACCAATACACCTTACCGTTACCAATTCTTGGGGTCCTTCTTGGGCTTGACATGGGTCGGGTTTAAGGTTTACGGGGGTGCTAGGCTGTAGTGTTATTTGCTCGACTGGCCCGTACGCTGTAAGTTATGCAGTGGTTCGCGTGACAATCTGATAGGCTTTAAGTAACGGGACTCAGTAAGGTTGCATGCGGGTTATACGCAGAGTGAAACAGATTGCGCCAACTTGCGACTGGTCGTCTGATCCACACAGCACAAGCATGGAGAGCCAGAATGTGGATAGCCGACAAAAGTCAAAATGGCAAAACACGATAACATCCAAATTGGGGATTAGAGTTTACGGCCATGGCTTTTCATATCCCCCTGTGCACCCTATGAAACCCTGGGACGAACAACCCAGCAAAACACGAAACCAACTATCAAACCTTCGCTAAGTCCCATGGCCCTTCCAAGTACACCACAAGCTCTAAAAAGTTTGTGGATTCAGCCACAGAAGGGCTTCTCGGCTTCACAGCGTGGGGGTTTGAGGGCTTATGGGCTTAAAGGGAACTCCAGAAAGTTGGAATATGGAATAATGGCAGGATCCCCTATAATTTACCATAAGCCATAAAGGGTTTAGGATAATGATATTCCAACTTTCTGGCTTCTACTGTAGGGTTTTAAGGGTTTGCGGGTTTTTGGGATCAGGTGGCGAAGGCTGCAGACTTAAGTGCTTCGGGTCTGGGACTCACGGTTTAGAGCTCAGGGTTTAAGCTATCTCTACCCCAACTACTATTTGCTTAAGAACCCCCCCCAAAAAATTAAACAAAATATTCCTTATGGGGGTAATATAGGGATTATTGTTGTTCATTTTTGGGGTGGTTTCTTAAGCAAACAGTAGTCTACCCCAAGGGTCCTAACACTTTGGGGAACCTCAAAATGTAGGATTCCTGAAGCCCCAACGAGACCCAAGGGCTCTCCCTAGGAGATTCCGGACCCTCCCGAGGAGATACCTGGACCCTTTGGGTACTTAAAGGTTCATGGGACTTAGTAGCTAGGGTTATAAATAAGGTAACTATATACTCGAAATCACTATATTAAGAAGCACCAATTATGGGATACTTATAACTGTACTTACTGAGTCCATGTACCTCCAAGTAGAGTAGCTGAGGGTGTGCAGGTTTTGGTTTAGAGTCCGGAGGCTTGGAGTTTAGGTTGCCCGGGGAGGTCTGCTTACCTGAGTGCAATATTCAAATGCAGCATCATAACCTACCGTCCCAAAACAATCTCTGAGTAAAGAGATCCTGAAAATCACGGCCACAGCAAGAAGAGAGCCTTAAATGTTTGAACATCGAAATGCGAGACAATGATCACATGCTGAAGTGGATATCCGTTGGGTGCTGCCCAACCCTCTAGAGTTCCATAAGGGTTCGGTGATATTGGGGCCGGGGAATAATATTGTCGCTGGGCTTCTTGGATACACAGTATCTATGTTTATCTCTTTTCATTGCTTCTAGCCCCAATTATTCTAAAACAAGGTCCTTAGACTGTGCTCACTACGTCCCGTCTACCTCCAAGTAATGCCCAGTTCCTAAACATGACACGCCAGACCCTGACTCTGAATACGTAAAACCCAAACCTATAGGCCCCTAGAATCCTGCAAATGGGAGTTTCCGAAAATAGGGGAACCATATTCTGGGGTCCTTATGATAAGGGTCCTAATATTCGGGGTACTATATCAGGATCCCTTGTTTTCGGAAACTCCCAAATATCCCTAAACCTTACACACCCACAGATCCCTTACAGAACCCCTTAAGGAACCCTTTAGGTTACTAAGTCCCCTGAACCTCCGAGTATCACGGGGCATCCTGAACGGCTACGTCCGACCCCGACCCTCTGCAGACCCGCCTCCGCCCTTCCCCACGACGTAATCCTCCAGCGGTTCAGGGTTAAGGGCTTATAGGGTTTAGGGTTCAGGTTTCCGGGATCTAAAGCTCCCCAGCGTTCCCTAGGGCTCCAAGTATACGAATACTGAAGTAAAGGGAACTCCAGAAAGTTGCAATATGGAATAATGGCAGGATCCCCTATAATTTACCTTACAGGGATTATGATAATGATATTCCAACTTTCTGGCTTCTACTGTAGGCTTCGGGTTTAGGGATTAGGGTTGCAGGGAGCTGAGGAACTGAATTTTGGGGTTAGAGTTCAGGCTTTGTTCTGGTTTTATCGGGTCAAGGGTCTATGCTTGGGGCGGCTTTCCCCAAGGCACCATGTATCCATGTAGTATATACCTTGGCCTCGAGGTACCTACAAAGGAAATATTTTAAAGCCGTGTGTTGTATCGGTACATGGACCCTTCTGGACTACAGTAGAAGCCAAAAAGTTGGAAACTCAATAGCCTCGATCCTTAAGAGTAATGTATAGGGAATCCCCGCACTATTTGGCCTTAATCCGGTTTCCAACTTTATGGGGTTTACCGTAGAGCTTTAGGTGTGACGTGTTCGGGAGCTTTCGGCAAGAGTCAGTTAGTTTTGGCCTTCAAAACTGCTACCTGCTACCCTTAAACCAATGCGAACCAGGTCGACAATCCCTCTACAATCTAAGGCTAAACCCAAGAGTAGCCTAGGAATAAAAAGGGTGCCCTTTTTGGTTTAAAGGGGCTTATAAGGGAACCTGAACCCTTAAAAAGGGAATAAGGGCCTACTCTGGGTCCTAGAAGGTATACTACCTGAACACGTGGATTAGGAGTCTCGGGGGATTTCGGGCCAGGGTCGGGGGCTATTATTGCCTTGTGGAAAGACAGTTTATGAATCAGGGGTGTGCATGAAGACCCCAAACCCTAAACTCTGAACCTCTAGAGCCTTAAGCCCTAAGCTCTGAGTAAAGTTCCCTAAGGGTCCTAAGTACGTATATGGTAGAATGCAGGGTGTCTGTATTACCCTAAGGCTCAATAGACCAAAAGCCCTAAAGTAAAAGCCAGAAAGTTGGAATATGATTATCGTAAACCCTTTATGGTAAATTATAGGGTATCCTACCCTGAAACCATATTCCAACTTTCTGGAGTTCCCTTTAAGGCTCAATAGACCAAAAGCCCTATGTAGTATGGTCTGTGCCCAGTCTATAGAGCCTGAAGGTTAAGAATTGCCATGTGGGACCCTCCGAAAATTAGGGGTACCTTATATAGGGGGTCCTTATAATAAGGATGCTACTATTTAGGGTACTATAGTAGGGTTCCCCATTTTCGGAAACTCCCATTTTGGTTTGGGGAAGTATGCCCCGTACTTGGAGGGTCGGGGGACTTCGTAAATAGTTATTTTGGAGCCTTATAAGTATCGTAACCCCTATTTAGGGTCCCTATTGGGGTACTTATAAGTCTACTTACTACCTACTTACTACGTCCCCCAACCCTCCAAGTAACGATACCTAGGACCTTTAGCCCTCAACTTCACGAAACCAAAACCTTAAACCCTTAACCTCTAAACCCCTTAAGCCTAACCCCTAAACCCTAAAGCACTAAAACCTAAACACCTAAACACCTAAACCCCTAAAGCCCTAAAGCCATAAACCCTAAATCCTGGATTACCCCTAAACCCTAAAACCCAGGAGAAAAATAGAGCCCACGTCTATGGAAGCCTCGTCCAAGTTGTAGCCCAGGAGGGGGAACACTTCGACTTTCCTTGGCTTAGGGTTTGTAGTTTAGCGTTTTGGGTTACTCAATGGCCCAAAACCCAAGGAAATAAAAGTTGAAACTTTCAGAATCCACTGCCTTATAAGAACCCCAAAAGTTGAAAAGTTCAGTTTACAGCCAATAAGGTTAGGGTTTGGGGGTTTGGGATTTGGGGCTTCAGGGCTTGGGGGTTTAGGATTTGGGGGTTTAGGGGTTAGGGTTGAGGGGTTTAGGCGGTTTAGGGTTTATGGGTTCAGGGTTTGGGGGTTTAGGGCTTTAGGGGTTATTTGTGCTTTAGGGTTTCGCCCAGATCTTCCAATATCCATGTCCAATAAATCAGAAACACTTCCTTCAGTTATAGTAGGATCCCCAATGCGATATCAGGTATACTCAACTCCTTTCTTCACGGGTTTGGGAAGCTCTAGGAGGGTTTAGGGCCAAGTTCAGGGTTTGAGGGTGCGAGTACCCAAATATCCCTTCATTAAGGAATACACCTTAAATCATATTAGGGGTCCTACTATATTTTCAGGTATATTCTTTAATTAAGGGATATTGGAGTCTCTGGGTAGGAGGATGCAGACGCAGTGTAGGGTTTGAAGCGTGGAGTTACATGGACCTTCGGGGCGATGGACGTTTGGTTGTAAGTAGGATGCGAGGCGTCGGTTTCAACTGTCCATGAACATATTCAAAACCAGGACTCTATGATGAGCAACAACGGAAACTCACACTCATCCCCAGTCGATACGGAGTGGACGGTTATAACCACCGAGAGGATCGAGAAAGTAAATCCCTCAAGGGGGTTCCTATACAGTACCCCTTAGTAGTATAGGGTTCCAAAGTAAAGGTCTCTACTTTCTAGATCTCAAAGGGGAAAAGGAGGGACCCTTAATGGGGACACCTACCCTATAATGGGCTATATAATGGGTATATAATAGCTATATTAAGTGTATATACCTAGGGGTCCTTATTAAGGGTCCCTCCTTTCACCTTTGGAAGATCCTCGCGGGGGTCTGGGAAGTAGGATAGGCTTATGAGCAGCATAGACCAAAGTAGGCTACTCTGAGCTGCCAAAAGAACCTGCTTGCTAAGTCCACTGAAGCCTAAAACTGAAGCCTAAACACTCAAAACCCCAAACTCTAAACCCCTAAACCATAAACCATAGACCCCAAATACCCTAAACAAGACCACCTTACAACCCTAAACCCGTAAACCCTCAACCCTAACCCCCCCCCTTCCACCCCACCCCCCCCCTCCAACAAACAAACTAAACCCGAAACAGAAAAAAAAAAACAGCTCCTGCTCGTTGCAATCGGGCCGCTTGTTGGGATCGGCACTCGCGGCGAGGGACCTTGCAGTGTTACTTCAGGCTTCCCTTCAGGCCTCCACTACCTGGAGGATCACGGGACTTAGGCTGAAGTCCTGAGGAGCAAAGGAGCCCTGAAACCCGGCAGGGCGTCAGATAGCTTCGAGAGTTGTGGCTTATGGAGATTTCGGTGTGTACAGCTACTTGGAGGATCACGGGACATGGAAAGTAGGGTTATAAGTACCTGAATTGGGGTTAGAAGTAGTTCTAAACATAGTAACCGTCATTATAACCCTGGTTACTAAGTGCCATGACCCTTTAAGTAAAAGCTCGTTTATAAAGGCTTCTGTAAAGGCTTCTTTAACGGCTCCTTTGAGGGTTCCTTTGAGGTTTTCCTTATATGCTCATGTAAGGGTTCTAAAATGTTTTGGGGGTTTCGCTCTCCCGGGCTCGAGAGTTTGGGGTTTGAGGTTACGAAACCTTAAACTCTAAACCCCAAACCGAAGCCTGAACCGGAGTGTATCAGGTTTCACGGTTTGGAGCTTTGCGTTAAGGCTCAGGTTTGCGGGGCCTGGGTTTTGGGACTTGCACCTTCGGATTCAAGGCCCTTCGTTTCATGTTGAGAGACTTGGCGTTACTTGGAGGTTTCTTACTTATGACTTAGTAAGTACACTTAGAAGTACCTCATTTAGAGGTTATTCGCAATTATACGTATGGTTACCTTATTTGTAATCTAGCTATTAGGCCCCATGAACCTTTAAGTAGACTCTAAACGCAAATCCCCTTTAAGGGAACCCTGGTCTGGAACCTATAGTACCCTTTCAAGGAACCCTAAAGCCCCTAGTTACGAAAATTTCGGAAAATGAATTTACAGCTTCAAGGGGGGTTTATGATTTGGGTGGCTGTCAAAATTAGGGTCCCTCGTTGGGTCCTTATTATAATACGGCACCTCATATTTAGGGTACCCAGAAAAGGGATCCTAATTTTTACAACTACCCATTTGAGGTTCCCTAAACCCTAAACCCTAAACCCTAAAACCTAAACCCTAAACCCACCCTAAACCCTAAACCCTAAACCCTTTCAAGGGACGTTTATGATTTGAGGTTTGGGAGCTTGGGGTTTCCGACTTAGGCGTGAGACGCCTGGGTAAGAGCCTTACCAAGGACGGTCCAACTGTTGATGATATCAATCCTGCATTACCTATTAGGGTTTAGGGTTTAGGGTTTAGGGTTTAGGGTTTATGTTACCTAAAGGATCCTAAACTATGGGAATAATGGTATATTACCAGAACCCCTATTCTGAAATGTTCCGGAACCTTGAAACCCTACTGCACAGGCACTTGGACCCTTAGGGTTAGGTTGAACTTCTAATGCCCAAAACTGACATCAAGCTACCTCGACATGCCCCACTTCTCTGTGAGGGACTTGTTCCAGCTAGGTTCTAAATATTCTAGGCTCGAGAAACCCCTCTGTAATGTAAAGCCAAAAAAACCTTAAACCCTACAGGAAACAAACAGATGACACCAAACCCTATGGGAGTTAGGATTAGGGGGACCCTTGGGGATATAGACCCTCTCAATAAGGTCCCTTTTAAAAGAGCCAGGACTAGGGTTTGGAAGGGGTACCCTTTAAGGGGTCTCCCTCATCATGCTGCCCACGCTAAGCCCAAAATGCCCAAACGACATGGGGCCTCTCTGCTGTCGGCTTCACGACGCACTGACCAACCTTTGAAATCGCAGAGAACGTGTTCTGGGCTTTTCGGCTTGACCGTTAGGGGCTTAGGGTTTAGATTCCCGGGTTCAGGGATGTAGGGCTTAGTGTTAGCTTTGTGTTTTGAAGGGCTTCGGAATGGGGAGGTAGCATTAGCCGGGAAGGGCTCTACAAGCCCAAAGTTCAACAGGTCCTAAGTACCCAAAACCCTAAACCTTAAACCCTAAACCCTAAAGAGGGATGCGGCTTTAGTTTTAAGCCCTTATAAGGGAAGCTAGTTGCAGTATTCTATTTGAAAGATTTGTGACTTTGGCCTCAGCGCTCTGTAGAAGGTTTAGGGGTTTAGGGTTTAGGGCTTTCGGGATTACTAGTTTAGAGGTTGTTCAAGGATTTGAGAGCACCTTCACGACATGTTCGAGAACCCTCCAGCTCTAATAGAGGAAGTACTTGAAGGCCAAAGTATATACCACAGGTACACGGACTCTTGTCCAGACCCCCGTAAGGATCCAAAAAATAGATCCCGTGATGGAGGTTGTATAAATAATAAAGTGCCCTTCAGTAGTGCGGGGCTCAAATTAGGGGATCCACTCTATGGATCCTCCCGGGGGTCTGAACAGAGAAGGTACCTCAAACTATAAACCCTAAACCTCTAAATTCCTAAACCTTACACCCTAAACTCCTAAACCCTGCCTGAACCCCTAAACCCCGAAACCCTAAACCTATAAACACCCCTAAACCCCGAAACCCCTATTCTGCTGAGTCTGCTCAGTATGGTGGTCGAGATTGGAGTATTCGAGCATTACGGGTACCTTATTTTGGGGCCCTTATAATGAGGATCCTACTTGGAGGGTCGGGGGACTTAGTAAGTAGGTAGTAAGTAGACTTATAAGTACCCCAATAGGATCCTAAATAGGGGTTGCGATACTTATAAGTCCCTAAAACAACTGCTTACTAAGTCCCCCGACCCTCCAAGTACTACCTGAATTGCTACATACGGGTCCCCTATTTTCGGACACCCCCTAAACCCCTAAACCCTAAACCCCAAACCCTAAACCTTAAACCCTAACCCTAAGCCCTAAACCTTAAACCCTAAACCCTAAACCTTAAACCCTAAACCTTAAACCCTAAACCCTAAACCCTAAACTCCTAAACTCCTAACCCCTAAACCCCTAAACCTCAGATGCAGGCTTCTGATCTCCCGACTTTACGGCCTAACCCAAAGGGATCCGAAGGGGCTCCCTTAAGTAGCTAGGGTTTAGGGTTTAGGGTTTAGGGTTTAGGGTTTAGGGTTTAGGGTGTAGGGTTTAGGGTTTAGGGTGTAGGGTTTAGGGTGTAGGGTTTAGGGTGCAGGGTTTAGGGTTTATAGGGTTTAGGGTTTAGGGTCACCCCCTCCCCCTTCCCCACTGTACCCACTGCTGCCCCCACTCTTTCCTTTTCTGCCCCCCCCTTTGCCTCCCCTTACCCACCCCCCTGTCCATGCAAAAAGGGAATAAGGGTACTACTGGGCATCCTAGTAGGTTCTCTACTGGGGGAGTTTTTCCTCAAATCGTAATAGTAATTCAGGATTCTAGTATAGAAGCCCTGAAGTCAAAGCCAGAAAATTGGAATATTATTATCCTAATCCCTTTATGGTAAATGATAGGGTATCCTACCCTGAAACCATATTCCAACTTTCTGGAGTTCCCTTTACATGCATTTTACCTACAATGTTAGGTAAGGGCAAGCTCAGGACCTGGGGAGTTAGGCTTTGGAGGTTTAGGAGTTCAGGGCTTTAAGGTTTAGGGGTTGGGAGTTTAGGGCTTTAGGGCTTAGGAGGTTTAGGGCTTTAGAGTTTAGGAGGCTTAGCGGGCTAAGGGGGGTTTAGGGCTTACGGCATATTGCTCGGGGTGTGCTTGTTTTTTGTTTTTTTGGTTTGGGGCTTCGGTTGGTGTGGGTTTGAGGGCTTAATTGTTGTTACGGGGTTCAGGGTGGAACAAGGTTTTGGGGTTCAGCGTGTCGAGTTTCCCTTGTTCTGCCGAAAAAATTGAAAACCCCAGCAGCGCGCACTAAGCACTCAACCCGCGGAAACGCCTGGACCTAAACCCCAAGCTCCACACTGCAAGCCCCCGAACCAAGGACCCCCCTCTAAACCCTACATCCAAAACACTGCAGCTAAGTTTAAATCCAGCCCCTAAAACCTAGGAACCGTGAAGCCCATGAGCTTTTTTATGTCTCAACCATACCGAAACCTGAAACATAAAACCTAAACCCGACTGTAGGGGCCTTAATAATTAGAACTATTTAGAGTTCTGGGGCCACTATACTATTATTACAATAAGGAACCCTCCAGACTGGTATTGGTAATTATTGAAGCCCCTATATTAAACGCTTTGAGTCCGTCCTCCTCAAAGGTGTCTCCGGCGGTGACGCCGAGGACTTTCCTCTCGAGCCGGGAGCTATCACGGAGTTCACTTTACCCTAAACCTGAAACCCTTTAGGGTTTAGGGTTTATAGAGTTTAGGGGTTTAGGGTTTAGAGTTTAGGGTTGAGAGTTTAGGGTTTATATAGCCTGCATGCATGCGTTTGGATTTAAGCTGGGCACAGAAAGGCTTGGCAAATCCATCTCCGACGCCGTTTCCCAGCAACCACACAATAAGTTGGGTATGTTTGTGCTGAGTTATAGCCGGGGGATAGGCTCTAGATTTTTTGTAAGTATATGAAATTCGATACTTACCGGAACATGTGTCGTAGTAAGTCCATGATGAGAAAGGCTTCAGGGTGATGTCCCCGACTAGTTAACTACCCTAGGGTTGAAACTGGCCCAGAATCCCAAGGCCTTACATATCAGGGTCTTCGGTCCCAAAAGCTTGAAAACATGCGCCCTCCAGTCTTATGGTGGCGAACCCCGACAAGCCTACAATATCACTAAACCCTCACCCCAAACCCCAAACGCTGAACCGGCGTTCGTGTATTCCAACTCCAACTACTGTAGCACCTACACACCCAAACTCGGGGAGGCAAACTGTTACATAGTTGTATGGCCTTCGGGCCCCGAAACCTTAAACAGACGAGTCCTTAGGGCATGAGTGTCAGTGTTCTCCATGCTGCCCGGAAACTCTTTAGTCTGCTGGAGGGTTCGGTTTGGGTTTACTGTAAGTAAGCTTGTAGGGTTGAGGTGCAGGACCGTGCATAGGGTTTGGAGTTCAGGGTTTGGGGTTTTGGATGGTTCAGGGGCTAGGACTCGGGGTGTAGAGTGCGGGGGTTAGGAACTCACGTCAGCCTTGTCTGTTCCTGCTTCGCAACATGCCTTGCGGCTTCCTGTTCGGTGACCGGCATGCTTATCTGTCTTCTCTTTTTCTTAATTCCCCAATAAGCCACAGAGGTAAAGGTTATACCTTCCGGTTGCTACTAAACTATAAGAACTCAAAGAGTTTAAAGGTTGGATAATCGGGAACTAAGGTTTTGCTTCTTGACGCTGCCGAAACCGGAAGCTCTTAAATCACACGCTTGGGCTCGGTGATTGATCTGTTGCTGGTGGACAGAATACTGGGCTTGCACGCAACCAGGGAGGAAAAGCACAGACTTTTATTTCATAGTGGTTCCCTTTAAGTAAGAGGTCCCCAAAAAAGTATTAAAGTATGGTTCTCCAAAGCCCAGTATTGCTTTGACTGGCATGCCCGAAAACACCTTTAGGGTTTCGGGTTTATTTCTGCATATGGCAAGTTTCGGTCCATCAGCAATATGTCCTGCATGCTGCACTCGAACAGGCGGTCCTTACACAGTACGATATACCCCAAAACCTCAATCTAACTATGACGTCCACTATGTACAATCGTAGAACCCTTCTTAGACCCTTGGAGTAACCCTCATAGAGCCCTCTAACTACGAATCCTATTCTATTTGTTGTTATTGTTACTTTTGCTTCTATTGTCATAATGATTGTCATTATTCTTATTCTTACTCTTCTTATTCTTAAGGAACCTGTATCGAGACCCCCCCCCTCCCCTGCCGGAACTGGTCCTCTCATCTCGATCCAAGATCTTGACGAGCAGCGGCGGGAAGGGGACGGGAGTGGCCATCTTGGAATACCGGTGCAGGGTTTAGGGGTTCAGGGTTTTGGGGCTTGGGCTTTGAAGGGTGTTGCTCACGGGCTGTCTTTCGGGTTTTACAAGGAGTTAGCTTTAAATCCCTGACTACATTTTCATGTTGATCACTGAAATCGCGGCCCTAGGGCCTTCTCAACATATCCTGAAACCATATCCCCTCAAGCTCGCTTGCTCTGAGCCCTTTCACCAGATTGCTCCTAAGCCCCACCCTAAATCCTCAAAGGACCCTCGCAAAACCAAGACGCCAGTTTCTTAAAGTCCCAACCTAGACTTAGACTTACAGTAGGAGCTCAAAAGTTGGAAACCGGAATAAGACCAAATAGTGCTGGGATTCCCTATATATTACTCTTAAGGGTTGAGGCTATTGGGTTTCCAACTTTTGGGCTTCTACTGTATCCCCTAAACCCGAAACCCTAAGCCCTAAACCGCCAAGCCCTTTAAGGAACACTTATTTGGGGGTAGCCTGTTGGTCCATATGTGCACCCCCTCAGTGTTGGGCCGAGGGCTTGGATCAGTCTAAACCCTAAACCACTAAAGGGAACTCCAGAAAGCTGGAATATGGTTTCAGGGTAGGATACCCCATAATTTACCATAAAGGGTTTAGGATAATCATATTCCAACTTTCTGGCTTTTACTTTAAACCCCAAACGCCCAGGTCTTGCTCAAGACCAGAGAGCCCAATACGCCTTAGTTAAGGAATATGCCTTCAGTTATATCGGGATTCAGATTATGATTTAAGCTATATTCCCTAAACCCTAAACCCTAAACCCTAAGCCCTAAACCCTAAACCCTAAACCCTAGTTAAGGCTATTGGGCTCTCTGGGAGTTTAGGATTCATGGCTTGATGCCTTGCAGGGGCCTGGCAGGCTTTGGGTTGTTTAGAAGTTCATGCTTGAGGGTTCAAGGCTTGGCATTTTAGGGTTTAGGGTTTAGGGTTTAGGGGGTTTAGGGTTTAGGGTTTGGGGTTTGGGGATTAGGGTTGAAGTTTTAAGCCTTAGGCTCCATAGTAGTTCCTTTTCGGGATTCCCTTATAGAACGCTATATATGAACTACAAACAGGAACTTCTGTGGAGCCTCTGGGTCAGCCTTAAACCCTATAGTCATACACCTCATGCTTTAAACCCTTAACTAGGTTGGCCCTTTAAAGCCTCTGAAAAATATTCGTAAATAGGGTCCTATTAAGCCCAATAAGGGAAAATATAAAATGTCCCAAAGGCCTACCTAGTTAACATGTATCTGGGGGCTCAGGGTTTCTGAAGGGCTTCGCGGCGATTGTTTTTTCGGGGAAGCCCTGAAAACTGCACTCCACCGAACCGTCCTGCACCCTGACATGGCTTAGGGTTTAGGGTTTAGGGTTTAGGGTTTAGGGTTTAGGGTTTAGGGGTGCGAAGCCCTTAAAGGGAACTCCAGAAAGCTGGAATATGAGTATCCTCAACCCTTTATGGTAAATTGTAGGGTGTCCTACCATGAAACCATATTCCAACTTGCTGGAGTTCCCTTTAACCCTGAAAGCCTAATCAAACTCAAGACTCTGAAACCCTAACCCCTAAACCCTGCGTACGGCCCCCACTCAGGAATAGTTGAATAATGGTCACAACATATATATATATATATATATATAATATATAAGGCCCTCAGTAGTAGCCCCATTATAGACTCTCACTGTATGGGGGCAGTACCTAACCTAAACCCTACCCTAAACCCTAAACTCTAAACCTTAAACCCTAAACCCCTAAACCCTAAACCCCTAAACCCTAAACCCTAAACCCCTAAACCCTAAACCCTAAACCCCTAAACCCCTAAACCCTAAACCCTAAACCCCTCAATCAAAAATAGCCCTCCAAGGCGAGAAGCCAAGCAGTGGTCTGGCGAAGGTGGTTCCGGCACCTCCATGTTAAGGGCTTTCAGGCTTCCTTTAAGGGTTCCTTTCAGAGTTACTATAAGGGCATGTTTTTGAAGGGATCTATAAGCTTTACTATTAAGTTTCATCGAAAAAGTCCTACAAGGGTGACTGTCACGCTTCCTTGAGGGGTTCTTTGGGAGGTTCGGGTCTGTATACCCTGAAACCCTCAAAAACCTAAACCGTAAACTATGAAGCCTAGAGACTCCAAAACCCTGAAATCAGCGATGCACCTCAAGTTCTGTTGCGGATACCGCTGAAATGCAGGGACTCTAACTCAGTCAAGCGTAGCCCAAGGTAACAATTGCATACATATATGTATAAATCTACATATATATATACATATATATATATATATAGTATATATAATATATATATATATATATATATACATATATACACACATGTGTACACATATGTGTAAGTCGAAATCTAAGTGTACATATCATGTAAATATGTATATATATATGCAAAGAAAGAGAGAGAGAGAGAGAGAGAGAGAGAGAGAGAGAGAGAGAGAGAGAGAGAGAGAGAGAGAAAACCTAAACCGAGCGAGCCTGATGTTGATTACGAATTGCCAGCATCGTATAACCAAGTTCCTGAGCAGCCCCTGAATGACAAGCGTACCCTTGTTCCTCCTATTCGGTTCTGATGAGGGAACCCAGAAAGAAAAAGGGCAAAGGGGTACAACTGGGGAACCTAGATAATGTATTTCCCATGCCCTAAACCCTAAACTAGACCTAAGAGTAACCTAGGAATCAACAGGGTGCCCTTTGTGGTTTAAAGGGGGCTATCAGGGAACCTAAACCATGAAAACAAGGAATAATGGCCTACTCATGGGCGCCGCACCACCCTGCCTTCGTGAAGCATCCAGCGCAGGGGTCAGTCGGCCCTGTCAGCGACACGCCCCCAGCTTGGCCAAGAAGCGTGATTGGACTGTCGCTGGATGGTCGCATGCACGGACGGGACTTGTCCACGCCTCAACGGCGCCCTGAATGCCGGCCACATGCAACGTTCAGCACATCAGCTTGGTGGAGCAGCAGAAGCTCTCGGCAAAGAGATGCATACTTCAGCACATCAGCTTGGTGGAGCAGCAGAAGCTCTCGGCAAAGAGATGCATACTACTTGCAGCGAATTGATCTGCACGCCTGGTGTCGGGGCAGAGAAATGCCGGCACTAAAGAATAGGCTGTGCCAAGGGTCTCGCGAGGCCCTGATGCTTGTTCCCAAAACTCAAAGCCCGAATCAGCCCCTACCTTAACAAACCCTGAACCTTAAACCCCACCTATACTCATAACTACTTATAACCCAAATTAAGGTACTTAAAACCTTCCTTACTAAGTCGCATGATCCTTTAAGTACGTAGCTGTACACACCGAAATCTCCATAAGCCAGAACTCTCGAAGCCTAGACCCAAGAGTAACCTAGGAATAAAAGGATGCCCTTTTTGGTTTAAAGGGGCTTATAAGGGAACCTGAAACCTTAAAAAGGGAATAAGGGCCTACTCTAGGTCCTAGAAGCTATCTGACGCCCTGCCGGGCTTCAGGGCGCCTTTGCTCCTCAGGACTTTAGCGATCAGGATTAGGCTTGAAACTGGGTGTCGGGGTTTAGGGGTTACAATGAATCCCAGAAAGTTGGAAGATGGGTTTAGGATGAGTAGTGAATAGTGCTGGGATTGCCCAAAACTTTGCCTTAAGGGCATGAGGATAATGATGTTCCAACTTTCTGGCTTCTACTGTAGACCCCGCCAGCCGAGCGAGCCTGGTGCTGGATGGGAATGCAGATTCTGTGCATGAAGGAAGGGCCTTGAAGACAAGAAGTTTGGGGGGTGGTACTTGGAGGATCGGGGGACTTAGTAAGTAGGTATTTTAGAGACTTGTAAGTACCACAACCCCAATTAGGGTCCCTTTTGAGGCACTTATAAGTCTACTTATAACCTACTTACTAAGTCCCCCGACCCTCCAAGTAGGCTTCAGGGCAACCCTAAATCCTACAGCCTCTACCGAAACCTCGAAACTCCTCCAACTTGAAGCTTAAGCCCTAACCCCTAAACTACCCAAAAACCCTAAAACCAAAGGCTTACGCCCCAACCCCAAAATTTTGAAATCCTGCATCCTACCCCAATACCATGGGGTTCGGCACCAACCTTTAAAGAATGAGTTCTTCGAGCTTTGAGATGGCAGAACAGGCAGGCAGCACAAAAAGCTGAACCTGGAGTGATTAATGTAGGAGCGGAAATAAGTACTGATACTGTTCTTGTTTTTCAGTGGTTTCCTTATAACTATTGTAGTTATAGTAGTACCATATACCCCAAAGCCCTATGCTGATTATTGAGACCCCTATGTTATGCATGTCCCTGGACCCCCAAATACCCTCTAGTATACCCCAAATAGCCACCATTAGGGGCCATAAGGGCTCCGTTAAAGGGCCCTTGGGGGCTCGAGGGACTTAGTAAGTAGTTACTTTAAAGACTTACAGGCACCGTAACCCAAATTTAATTCAGCACCCAATGATACCAATACTGAAACTCTAATACTCATACACATAATGGGGCACATAACAATAGCACCAGCGCTGTTAATAATTGTTAATACTGAGAATAACAGTAGATACTACTGATATTAATAGTACTTATGATAACAATAAAGCAGTAATAACATAAGTAACTAATAATTAGCGAGAGCACCAGTAATAATCGTAGTTCTAGTTAGCATCATGATAACTATAAGGCACAATAATAGTGCAATTACTAATCATAGTATAAGGGTTTTCAGCAACCACAGCATCAAGCCACCTGCTCCTGCAGGTTAAACCCCCCTCAACAACAACACAAAAACACGTATCCTGCCACTGCGTTGAAAGGGATAGGACCGTGTTAAAGATACTCATGCGTTGAACTTCACAGGGTCAAGGCAACTGCCCTGTACGTGTTTGCTGGACGGTGCCCTACGTACTGTTTTAGATTGCCAGATAATTGTAGCAGACCTTTCTTAGGTTCTGGTGAAGTTCCGATGCTTCTTTCCTGTCAAGGTCCGGCAACACCCTAGGCCTACAGCCTCCAATATCCCTAAATT